GTAGAAGCGGCAATCAGATCACAGATTCCTGGCATTTGAACAGGATCTTTTTGCTCACCAGGTTCATACAAGCTGCTGCGAGCTTCTCCATGAATGTGGCTCGTGGTGGAGTAGCAACTACTATTACTACTAGCTACTACTAGTAGCAGCAGCTACTGTGCTAAGAGCCAAAATTGGCCAAAATTGTGTGCCATTGACAGTCCTTATTCTCCCTGGAAGTTGCAAGCCTTTAGACTCTGGGATTCTAAAATACATCAGGAGCACCTAGGTGCCTCAGTTGGATGAGTGTCTGACTCTTGGTTTTGGCTCAGGTCATGACCTCAGTTTCATGGGATCAAGCCCCACATTGGGCTCTGTGCTGATGGCGTGGAGCCTGCTTGGGATTCTCCCTCTCCCTCTCTCTCTGCCCCTCCCCTGCTAATGCTGTCTCAGTCTCTCTCAAAAATAAATACATAAACTTCTAAAAAATAGCTACATCACATCACCATCTTTCCAGAATCTTCCTAAACTTCATCTATTCCCCATCACTTAAAATCACCTGAATCAGTACTAAATCTCTACATGCATTGGAACCTATTTCTGTTGTAGGATCTGGTTCTTGTGCACCTGTGGCGGTTTTTAATTACTATCTAGCTTGATATTTTCCTGACTGGTAAGGGAGTGTTGCCCTCATTGCTCCCTCAGAATTTCGCTGGTTTCTTTTTGTTGTTCTTGCATGATTTTTGCAATAAGAACTTTAAAGTTGGCTCGTCTGGTTCTTGGGGATAAATGGTTATTGAAATTAGGCTGAAAAATTACTTAAGTACAGACTGACACAGACTTTGATCCAAAACATGGGTTCATGCTTTCCCATTTATTCCAGTGGTCTTTGTTTCTCAGTTTTCATGTTTTTACAGTTTAGGTCTTACAGATTTCAGAAGTTTCACCTCCTGAATGTAAGATCTTCTATTACATTTTCTGACTATAGTTGCATATAGGAAATCTATTGATTCCAGCTATTTTGTTGAATGCTTATTGAGAGCAGCTTTTAGTTGATTCTGTTGACGTGTTGGAAAAAAATGTCTTGGCTCCTTTATTTTTGTCTAACTTCTTTGCTAGACAAAGGAAACTAATTTGTGTATTTTTTAATTTAATCTTTGTCTAACTGCTCTAAGAAGTGTACCCAGGATATGAAATAATTATGGTGAGTAAACATACATCTCAATCCTAAGGTGCATGTCCAATGTTTGATTTAGCATGATGTTAACTTTTTACTATTTGAGGCTAATGAGAATCCATCTACTCTTACTTTAAGAACTTATTATATCTGGAATGAAACAGATCTTGATCCCTGAGAGGAATTGTTCCTCCTTCCCTTTTGGCCTGTTTATAGTATGAGCTGCAGTGTTGATGCCCTGATGCCACCCTTGCATGTCTGTGACAGTAGTTATTCCCAGTATCCTCTTTGCAAGGCACCTTAGGGTATTTAAAAAACAATTTTTTTTTAACATTTATTAGAGACAGAGACAGAGCATGAGCATGGGAGGGGCAGAGAGAGGGGGAGACACAGACTCTGACGCAGGCTCCAGGCTCTGAGCCGTTATCACAGAGCGCCCAATGTGGGGCTCGAATTCACAAACTGCAAGATATGACCTGAGCCAAAGTCGGACACTTAATGGACTGAGCCACCGAGGCACCCTGGGGGTGTGTGTATATATGTAATATATATGTATGTATGTGTGTGTATATATATATATACATATATATATGTATATATGTAATCTTGATAGAGGGAAACCGAATTCTAAGCAGGCTCCATGCTATCAGCCCAGAGCCTGACATGGGGCTCAAGCTCTCAAACTGCAAGATCATGACCTGAGCTGACATCGAGTCGGAAGCTCAACCAACTAAGCTACCAAGGCACCCCAGGGTAGCTTTTTCTTTCTTTAACATGCCAGTGCAATCTACTACTTAGGATTTGTATTCATAGCATGCTATCTCTGTCAGGTTTTTATTTATTTATTTATTTATTTATTTATTATTTATTTATTTATTTATTAATTATTTTTGAGAGAGAGCATAAGCAGGGGAGAGGCAGAGAGAATCTGAAGCAGGCTCCAGGCTGTCAGCACAGAGCCCAACGTGGGGCTCCAATTTACCAACTGTGAGATCATGCCCTGAGCAGAAGTCAGATGTTAAAGCGACTGAGCCACCCAGGTGCCTCTCTTTGTCAAGTTTTAAACCGCTGCT